ATGCAGGATCCTCCCAGACATCACCTTAGCTAAACCCTTTGTAATAAAACTGTAATCGTTAAGCATAGCACTCTCCTGAGTTCTGTGAATTGGTCTAGCAAATTATCAAACTGGAGGGGGTCATGGGAACCTCCAAATTTATAGCTAGTCAGTAAGAAGTGCAGGTGGCCTGGGGAGCCCCCACTTTTGAGGCTTGTGGTTGGCATCTGAAGTGAGCCTTGTGGCAGACTTGGGCAGTTTACTTATCAGAACTGAATTTCAGTATACCTGGTTGGTGTTACTCTAGTCTGGCAGTGAAACAGAATAAAGGTAAATGCAAAAATCCTTAATTAAGTATTAGCAAATTGAATCCACCACAATACATCATGACCAGGTAGAGTTTATACCAAGAATGCAACACTGGTTTAACATTTAAAAATCAAATCAAAGTAATTTGCCATATTAGGAGAATAATGAAGAAAAACTATATAATTATATGATAAAAAGAATAAAATTTTTGGCAAACTGAGAATACAAGGAAACTTCTTCAACCTAATGAAGGGCACTGATCAAAACCTAGTTTATGTCATAGTTGGTGACTGGGACAGAGACATCAACTCTCCCCACTTTTATTCAGCATTGTGCTAGAGTCTTGGCCAGTAAAATAAGGAAAGGGACAGAAATAAAAAGATAAGAGCTGGACAAGTAAAAGTAAAACTGTCTTGATTTGCAGGTGACATTGTCTACAGAAAAAAATCTAAGGAATCTACAAAGCAACACCAAAAAAACTCTCTTAGAACTAAGACATTAACAAGGTTGTTGGATATAAGATCAACATACAAAAATTCATTTATTTCCTATATACTAATAGTAAACAATTGGGAAGTGAATCCCAATGTGCTACTTACCAGCATCAACAACATAAAACATAAAAAAAATAACTTTAATAAGTGACATATAAGACCTCTACATCAAGAACTATAAAAAATTGCTGAGAGAAATTAACGAAGACCTAAGTAAATGGACAGAGTATGTTCTTGGATTGGAAATCTCAATATTATTAAGATGTGATCTCTCCCTAAATTGACCTATAAATTCAATACAATTGTAAACAAAATCACAAAAGACTCTTTGCAAAAGTTGTTAAGCTGATTCTAAGATTTTTATGAGAATAAGCAAAAGACTCAAAGTGCTACTTCAATGAAGAGGATATACGACTGGTCTATAAGCACAAGAAAAAATTGCTAAAATCTTTTCTTTTTTTAAGATTTTTTCATTTATTTGAGAGAGAGAGACAGCACAACAGTGGGGAAGGGCAGAAGGAGAAGGAGAAGCAGACTCTCTGCTGAACAGGGAATCCAACAAGGGGCTCAATCCCAAAACCCTGAAATTATGACCTGAGCCACAGTTAGACACTTGACTGACTGAGCCACCCAGGTACCCCACTAAAACCTTTTCTAAATCTAAATTAGACGTTAGAGGAATGAAATGCAAATTTAAAATTTACCATTGCACATCCACTAGAATGTCTAAAATGAAAAAAAGCTAACCATATCAAATGTTGGCAAGGACATGGATAGAGCAACTGGAACACTCATCCAGTGTTGCCAGGAATATAACTTGGTACAACTTTAGAACACAGTTTGGTGGTTTCCTTAAAAGTTAAACATATGCCTAGTATATGATCCCATAGTTCTTCTAGGGGTATTATCCAGGACAAAATAAAATTATATGGCTCCCAAAAGACTTACACACAAGTATCTGTAAGTCCTTTATTATAACCAACAGTCATAACCATCCCAAATGTTCACCACACAAAAGAACAAAATGTAGCATATCAACACCATACAGCCCTGATGGTAATAACAACATACTACTCATACATCAACATGGATGAATCCCAAAAACATCATATTGAGGGAAAGAAACCTGACACAGAAGAATATACACTTTATGATTCCACTCATTTAACATTAAAGAACTAGCACACTAATCTGTGATGACAGACATTAGAATACCACTGCCTATGAGAGATGGGGACTGGTGGGAAGGGAATATGAGGGTAATGGCAATGTTCTGCCATGACTGAAGTGTCTACATTGACATGCGTGTCTACATTTATCAAAACTCACTGAGTCATGCATTTAAGTTCTATGCACTTGCTGTATGTCCATTTTATCTCAATGAAAACAAAGTTTTCTTTACGAGACTCAGAGCCAACATCCTAGAAAGGGTAGGGTATATTTTTCAAATTGACTTTGTTTGGCTTTTTCAATTTATTTATTTATATTTAAATTTTTTTTTAATTTAAATTTTAGGTAGTTAACATACAGTGCAATATTGGTAGAATTCAGTGATTCATCCCTTACATACAAAGCCCAGTGCTCATCATAACAAGTTAGTGCCCTCTCTAATGCCCACCACCTATCTAACCCAATCCCTACCCACCTCCTTTCATTAATCCTGAATTTGTTCTCTATCATTAAGGGTCTCTTATGGCTTGTTTCCCTTTCTCCTTTTTTTCTCTTCCTTCTTCCCATATGTTCATCTGTTTTCTTTCTTAAATTCTACATATGAGTGAGATCAAATGGTATTTGTCTTTCTCTGACTTATTTCACTTAGCATAATACACACCAGCTCCATTCATGTCATTCGATGGCTGAGTAATATTCCATTGTGTATACAACATCTTCTTTATCCATTCATCAGTTGATGGACATTTGGGCTCTCTCCATAGTTGATAATGCGAGAGAAGGTAATTGCAAATGACATATCTGATAAAGTGTTAGTATCCAAAATCTACAAAGAACTTATCAACCTCAACACCCAAAAAACAAATATCCCAGTTAAGAAATGGGCAGAAGACATGAAGAAATATTTTTCAAAAAAAGGCATCCAGATGGCACATGAAAAGATGTTAAACATCATTCATTCATCATCAAGGAAATACAAATCAAAACCATGATGAGATACCATCTCACACCTGTCAGGATGGCTAAAATTAACAACACAAGAAACAACAGGTGTTAGCGAGGATGCAGAGAAAGTGGAGCCCTCTTGCACTGTTGGTGGGAATGCAAACTGGTACAGCCACTCTGGAAAAAAGTATGGAGGTTCCTCAAATTGACTTTGAACTAAGAAGTAGCTTGATTATCAACTCTTTGGAGAAACTCAGAGCCACTTCAGATGGAAGCAGAGAAAACCATAGTATTCCTCGTGGTGTTCAGGAGTTGGGAAAGTGATTCAGAGATAAATCCAAGGAGCTGGCATTTACTTGCTGCTCCATTCTCACCATGAATATTCAGTGAGTGCTACTATGAATCAGGCACTGCCTTGGGACAGACAAAGTCCTTGTCCTTGCTGAGTATATAGTCTCTGAGAAGACAGACAAGGAAGCTAGACAAATAAATGGGGGGAGGATAGATTGTGACGGGTGCAGTGATGGAGTCCACAAGAACCCATGACTGGGGGGTCAATAAAGGGGTGGGGAGGACCTAAAATAGTTGAATGACCAGGCAAGGTTTCCTGGAAGAATCTCAGTTGTATTATGGGACAAAGGGCAGGCGGAAGAATACTGTAGGCAGACAGAAGAAAGAATGCAAAGGTCCTGAGGCAGGAAGGTGGGCCACGTGTGTGAGGAAATGACAGACAATCCGGATGACCAGTGCTTAATAATTAGGGAGGAGAAGGTGAGGTGGGGTGGGGTGGGGTTGGAGAGTTGGACAGCGGCCAGAGCATGCAGGGCCGATGGACAGGGGCAAGAATGACTCTGAATGACTGTCTATGACAATGGGGAGCCACCAAGGATGATGGATTCAAGTGAGGACAAGGGTGGAAGCAGAGACCAGTTAGGGAGCTACTGCACTAGTGTTGGTAAGAGCTGGCAGTGATGTGGAGCAGGGTGCTGCAGCACGAATGGAGAAAAAACAGACTGAGGACACAGGGTAGAAGGCGGGACAGAACTTGCTGATGCATTTGACATGAGAAATGAGAAAGAGGAAGGATGGGCCAATGGTGATATTTGCTAAGATGGGGAATTCTGTGGCAAAACAAGTCTCGTGGGGGAGGTGGATCGAGAGTTTCATTTTAAGATGCCTATGTACCAGCAAGTGAAAATGCCAAGGAGACAGTTGGGGACATGAGCCTGAGGCTCAGAAGAAAGGGCTGGGCCAGAGATATAAAGCTCAAGACCACATCACACAGGCAGTATTGAAGCCAGGGACACAGAGAACTGTCCCAGGGGAAGTGTCTCAGAGTGAAAAGAAGTGGGTTCAAGGATGAGGCTGTCAAGGGCAGAGGAGGAGCAGTGGAGTGGAGTGGGAAGGAAGCTAGGAAGACTGTTTCCAGAAGTTAACCCCTGTGCTCACAGTACCTAGAACAGCCTCTGGCATACAGCACTCCCTCACCACACAGTCACTGAATGCATGAAGAAAGGAAGGATTTAGGGGTTGGTACCTCTGCCAGATGTTGCCAAAAGCTGCCATGAGAGAAACCAAAGGGGAGCCCGTGGGCATTAGAAGCACGGGAAACAGCAAGGCCTTGATTCCAAGAGCACTGCCAGGGGAGTGCTGGGAACGAGGCCAGGGTGCTTCCATTCAGATGAGAATCTAGATGACTCCCGACTGTCAGTGTGGCCACAATCCCAAAATGACTCAATTGTCCCACAGCTCCCGTGACCGGTGCAGTTCCTTGCTATCACACCTCACATCAGTGGCTCCTGAAGCGCAAGACAGGCCAGGCCAGCCAAGCCCCGGCTGTGACAGGAGATGTGAGCAGGGCTCCCGCTGCCAGGGCTCAGGCATTCCCACCATTCTGCTCACTTAACCACAGACACCCCAACCCTGGCTTGTGAACTCTCACTCCCGAGATTCCCACCACCTCCCTCTCTACGTCCCCAGTCTCTAACCTCAGTGACACTTGTGTCTCATTGTCTTCTACCTCACCAGCAGTGGTCATCACACATTTGATCCCTTCCACTATTCAAGAGAAAACAACAAAGAAATCACACAACTCGGACTCACCAGGAACAGTTAGAACAGAGGGGGATCTTTCCGGCTGTTCATTCACACGGCTGCTGTTCTGAACCCAGAAAATGTTGACGGGCTCAGGAGGGCCCACAGCCTGACAGGTGAGGTTGAAGGCTGTGTTTCTCGTGACATTCAGGCTCTCGGGCTGTCTAGTAAAGTGAGGAAGTCCTGTAAAGAAAGAGTTCGGTGAAAGAATGTCTTAGATCTGCAAGCAAAGGCAAAGCCCCAAGGGGAATGGAGACTGTTCTGGAACTTGGCAAGAGATTTCTTTATATACCACCTCAGGTCTGAAATGGCCGGTTTTCACCTTCTGAAAGTTGGCTAAGAAAGAAGAGAAGCTTATTTTATTCTACCCAACTAGAATAAAAGTATCCTGGCTTTCTAGGATACTTTCCCAAAGGGGTTGTAATGGTGATTCAGAACTGGTTTTACCAGAAAGGAGACCTGGTGGTGTTGAAATTAGGTGTTACTCAAACTCCTGGGACAGGCTGGCACGTTTTCAGTATTCCTTACCAAAATACACACCATAAAAACAAAGCCACGTAATAGGTCCGCCTATTTTTGAGGATAATCTACTGGGTGTGGCACTTTAAGATGAGTGATAATGAATTGTAAAATCTGTACACTTGTGCAGGGCTGGATACTTTGCAAAGTGCCTTCTCCTGAGATCGATGTAGACACAGTTATGAAATTACATTCCTAAAATCTTCGACTGTCATTCAAAATTGAGGCCATAAGGGAACTTCAGAAGCATCTCAGAGAAAGACAGTCAGTACTCATTTGGAGCATGTGCCAAAAAATTAACAGGTCAAGCTAACTGTCCTCAGGGATTTAAACTGTATTCTTTCGGGGTTGAGAACTCACAGATCTGGTCCCAGAAGGAATGATGCGGGTGTGGCAAAATGGAATTCTTTTTTCCTGCTTCGAAGTTCTGTGAAGCTCCTTTTGGACCTAACATGTTTCTGCCCTGGACATTTTGCTGGCATTCTGACAAGTTAAATGTCCTCTCAATATTTTTCCAAGATTAACAGCAAACATAGGAACACCCCTGGGCTGATGTTTACATAACTCTGAGGAGGCATTAACTGTCCAGCCTGGCATGGGCCTAGAGCAAAGCTCTAAAGGAGACTCCTCTGAGGGGGGCCTCCTGAGGATTAGGTTTGTAAAAAAAAAAAAAAAGTGGGTAGCAGAGCACCCTTTCAGTGGGAGATGGTTCCAGATGAACTTCCTTGAAAAGCCAATGACCTGCTCTAAAGCCTGTGGTGAGGAGGGTCAGGAGAAAGTAGAAAAGAAAGGTGTTTGGATGCTTCTGCTGGTAGGAGTATCTCAGAAATCTGAGATTCAGGGGCCATGGAGGAAGCCAGTGAGTTGGTGAGGAATGACCGCCTGTGGTGATAATAGAGGTGCCTCCTCCCTGAAGCCTTCCTTGCCAGACCCTGCCATTGCAGAACCAGGCATGCACAACCAGAGACCCGGTCCTCAAGACCTGAGCTTACCTAGGCGTCAACTCACACTCCCCACTGCACTTCACATTCCTTGAGAGCGGAGACCACCTTCTCCTAGTCCATGTCTCACTTTTTACCCCCACCGAAACCGTCTCATGTCACGTCATGGAACTGCATTGAACCACGTACCTGACAAATCCTAGAGCCCACACGAGTCCCAAATCGAGCTGCTGACCCAGTTCAGGAATATGGCTCACAAAAAAAAAAAAAAAGGAATATGGCTCACCCTCCTAGGCAAATCACCACTAGATCAGGTGACTGGTATCTGATGCCAGCACTGAGAAATGGATGATGGAATACATTTTGCTTCTAAACAAAAGTCTCCAGATCTCTAGACTGCAAATAACCTGAGGACAAGAAAATCCATAATCTCAGCCTTTTTGCTGAGGATAGAGCTAAAACTTCAAGAACTGAATTCAGGTCATTCATTTATTATTTCCTAAAGTGTAAAAAGAGGATCACCTTGTAAAATGTCAGTGTTTACAAATTTGCAAAGTTTGCATACAGAATTATAAATGGGCACACCAAACTCCACAGTTTTATATGCAAAGCAATTAATACAGGCCACGCTGTGGCCTCTGGACTTACCTTGCACCTCGATGTAGATGGGGTCAGACACAATCTCTTCATTGTTTATTTTCATCTTACAGATATATGACCCATTGTCTGAACGCTGTACACTGGTTATGCTTCAAAGAAAACATACAAAGATATTTACCCTTTGAGTTCCTGTTACAGGAATAACGCTTTTCAACTTCTTTGTCATATGTTGTGTTGAATCTTGGGTGTCAACATGGCTAGATCATGATACCTAGATTTTTGGTCAAACATTACTCTAGATGTTTCTGTGAAAGTATTTTTCAGGTATGATTCACATTTAAATCAGTAGACTCTTGAGTAAAGATGACGCTTCATAACATGGGTGGGCCTCATCCAGTCGACTGAAGGACTTATGAGCAAAGACCAAGGTCTTCGAAGGAAGAGGGAATCCTGCCTCCAAGCTGCCTTCAGACTCAAGACCGCAATACCAACTTTTCCCTGGGTCTCTACCTGACGCCCTGCATGTTTCAGATTTGCAGGCACCGACAGTCACATTAACCAATTCCTTAAAATAACTTTCTCTTGTTCCCTCTTTGGTTCTGTTTCTCTGAAGAATCATGACTAATGTATACGCTGTCACTCTTCTTGCCTTAAATGGTAGGCTCTATACCCAGGTTCTCTATACTGGGGTATTGCCCTATAGAGGCATTTTACAAGTTTGTAGGGTTAAGTGGGCACAAAAACTAGGGACCACTGTGGCTTTTAGGAGTGAAGGGCCACTTTTAGGTACCAGGGGCAACTGTTTCATATCCCAGATGACTTTCTGAGTCTAGAACCAAGTTCCATTTACATACACACAAAGAATTTTGTCTGATTTTGATACCCACCTAATTTCCTAGGGCTGCCATTATCTGAGAATGGGGGCCACCCTTCCTTTGTCCTGTTTGGAACTTGGCCAAGACTCAGATCACTGACAGCACCTCTCCACCTGCAGCTGCCATATGCATGGGGGCATGCCAGGATGCAAGTTTAAGATTTTATTTATTTATTTGAGAGAGAGCCTGAGTGGGGGCAGGGGCAGAGGGAGAGGGAGAAGCAGATTCCCTGTGGATTGCAGAGCCTGATAATGCTGCTGCTGCAGAGCTGGATCTCAGGACCCGAGATCATGACCTAAGCCCAAGTCAGACACTTAGCTGACTGAGCCGCCCAGGTGCCCCTCCCAGTGTACTTTATTATCTCTCTTAGAGTGGGCAGGCCCGGCATTTACACGTTCATGTTCATATTATTATAGATCATTTTCCTTTTGTTGTCCTTTTTTAAAAAAATATTTTATTTATTTATTCATGATAGACATGGGGGGGGAGGGCAGAGACACAGGCAGAGAGGGAGAAGCAGGCTCCACCCCGGGAGCCCGACACGGAACTGGATTCCGGGACCCCAGGATCATGTCCTGGGCCAAAGGCAGGCGCTAAACCACCAAGCCATCCAGGGATCCCCATCTTTTGTTGTCCTTATACTACAGTTTGAACACTATATGTTGTAAAGTATCTGCTATAGACAGGCAGCCTTGGCTCTGAGATCTTGAGAATTCTGCTTTCCACCCTTCCAACGTGTTCATAAACGGGAAGTTCCACACTACCTGTCCTTAGCTGGGAGTGGGAAGGGGTGAGGAAACGAGGAACTCTTTGAAATGTTCTCAGACACTCGCCAAGAGAGGTCCTCTTCACTGGCCCAAAGGCACTGATTTCTTCTACTCTACTCATCAGACAGAGCAAAGGTCATGGCAAGAGAAAAAAAGTAAAAGAAGAAAACCATGGAGGGGTCCATCTTCCTTTCCAGCAGCTTGCTCCCTGATACAATTTATTTATCCTAAAGCAAAATAAAAACCCATCCCTCAAGCTGTCAAGGGCTGAACCTTAATGCTTAGAAGAGACTAGGAAGCTGGCAAGGTGGGAGGGGATGCCATCCTTGCCCATGGGCCCCGCGGGCAACAGAGAGCAGCTGCCAGGAGAAACACAGCACAGTGGTACCAAGAGCCAATCTGCCACAACGAGGCACCTAGGCCTTGAGGCTGAACACACGTTTTTAGAACAAGGAACATTTTAAATTACAACTTCTCCCTCAACATGCCATTTTGCAGCTTCCTTTTAGCTTCTGATTAGCAGAGTAGCTAAAATACATGTCAAGAATGGTGTCAATCAATGGTACCAGGGTGGCTCAGTTGGTTGTGTTTGCCTTCAGCTCAGGTCATGATCTCAGGATCCTGGGATGGAGTCCCCTTGCCAGGCTCCCTGCTCAGCAGGGAGTCTGCTTCTCCCTCTCCCTCTGCCACTTCCTTTACTTGTGCTTTTTATCTCTCAAATAAATAAACTAAATCTTAAAAAAAAAAAAAAAAAGAAAGAAAAAAGAATGGCGTCAATCAGAACTAGGGGAACCAGAGCTGTTTAGGTTAACATTACCTCCTTATTGTTTCTAAGACCGAAAAACGTGACTCTCACTTGTCACCTGAATTTCCTGATGTGCCAATCTGATTAGCACCCCACTGACTTAGAATACTCTGTCTTCCTCTTTCCCCTCATTCATGTGTAGGAGTGACATAATTTTGGAATTGCACCTAATGGATGAATGTTGGGTTTGGGAAAGACTCAAGGTCAAAGAAAGGTCAGATACTCTCCACGTTTTAGGACAAGGACTGAAGGTCACAACATCTAGAGGTCACCAGGAAAACATGGGAAGAGACCTCAAAGGGCAAATATCTCCAAATAAGGATCTAGCTGACCCTCTTCTGATGAATCTCCCTGGATGTCATGATGGCAGGAAGACACATGAGAGATGGCATGTGTCTAGAATGGTGTCCTGTCCATCAGGAGTATCAGCTAGTGGCTGAATAGTACACCCTGTTCTTGGTAGCTCCTGAAGATTCTGCATGGCTGACCAGTCTAGGCTTTTCTGCAGTTCCAAAAAATACTAAGGTCATGGCTACTGAAGACGGGAGGTCCTTTCCACAGATCTCAAAAGTTCATTGTAGAAGAGGAGTTATTTTTTTGAGGCAAAATTCAGGGGCTGGACTGATGATGAGATCTGATAGGCTGAGGATTGCTGTGCCTTTGAAGATCTGGCTCTGGCACAGGGTCTGGGACTCCAGTATTGCAACAGGCTGGCCACATGACTTAGAGAACCAGGGATCAGAGTGAAAGTGAAGGCCACAGAGGTCCCTCTGTGCAGGGCAGAGCCCCAGGAAAGCAGCCCATGGATGCATGGTACAACTGCACAGAGGGCCCAAGGAACTGAGAAACCATCAGGCCTAAGTAACAGCTTAGCAGCACAGCCGGGGCTGTAGCAATTAGATGCAGAAGGCACAAAAACCCTAGTTAAGCCAACCAGGCCAGGAGTAGAAAAGGAGAGTGCAAAGGGAACATGATCAAAACTGTCTTTAGTCACTCATATCAGGAAGAGGTCAGCAATCGTCTGGGGAGAAAGGCTATGTGCCTGCCTTAATCATCAAGTCCAGATCCATCTTACTTATAGCACAAGAAAGATTTTCCACAAATAATTCTATTTGTTGCTTCCCAGACATGCAAGTTAAAGCTGGCATGCTGAAGGCTGGGCGTGGGGTGAGCTGGAGACAGAAGAGGTTGTCCTTAAGTTCCTCCCTCTCCCTAAAGGAAACAGCAGGCCTAGTCCCTGGAGGTTCACCAGCAAAGGCCCTAAGCTCAGAATAGCAATCTAGGCATTCTAACAACTGAGTAAGAGGAGTTCCAGAAAGAACACAGGAAAGGGAGCATAACTGAACAAAATGCCCCAGAGCTGGAGATCTAGGACTTTCCTTCCCAGACCCTTAGGTGGGCAACACAGTGGGAGAAAAAAGACCCAGTAAGGGGCTTCACCAGGGAATGTCACAACTCCAAGATAACGTGGAGATCCCAGAAGCTTCCAGAGAGAAGGAAAGCAGCACCACACATGATCAGAACAGCACCATGCTTCTCAAGAACAAATCTAAGGGTGAAAAGGAGGTCTGTCAATCACTTCCAAACCACAACAGGAAATTATTTTCCTTTTGAATTCCATATCCAGCCAAACTACCTCAAGGTGAGCGCAGAAAAAATAATGGCATTTTCAGACATGCAAATTCCATGCTGATGGTGGGTGGGCTCCATGCCAAAGTGGAGGAGTGACCACCAAAAGGCAGGGTTGGGGGCCAGGCATGTGGAACCCAGGCTCCTGGAGCAAAGAGGTGCCATGAAGGCCCCCAGTACGAGAGCAAAGATGACTGAGCTGTACCCTGTAGCTGGGGAGCAAGCGTGCCCAGACTTGAGCTATCCTGGGACAGGCATCTCCCAGGAAAAAAATCAGTCCTGATTTCAGAATATCACTCTGTGAGGAGATGCTTTTAGAAAATTAAGATGCTTTTTAGAAACTTAAGCAGACTAACAAATGAGGAAGCTATTAAATTGAAGAAAATCCAAAAGCAGAAGAAGAAGAAGTAAGATGTAAGCGCAGCCTTCTACATGACTCAGCTGAAACAGCATTTACACAGCCACAAAAAACATTGGATCCTGGGTATTGATTTAACCAGAGCTTTAACATTTTATTAGATGAACTCTGGGGCCAGGCACACATGAACGCGCACACACACACACACACACACACACACACACGACTCATATGGATTGAATATCTCCGACAGATACCCAAGAAGTGAATAACCACAGCTCCTTGCTGGGGAAGGGCTGGATGATGGAGTGGAAGAAGATTTTTGAACAGTTGGAGTATTTTACCCTGTGTATGCATCGCTTTAAAGAAGGTATAACAACCGTGTCAGATTTAGGTCAAATACAAACATCTGAACCAGGGAGAACCAAAGCCACTGTAGGGACTCAGCCACCGCGTCTAGACAGGAACCACCTGGACAGAGCCGCAGGGCCGCAGCTGTAAAACCAGTCACAGTAGCGCAGCCCCGGCTGGGTTAGCCCCAGAACGGGCGGCAGACACTCAGCCTCCCCGTCCCGCAGACCTAGCCCAGCTCCACTGCCGCACTCAGGAATGGCTCTTCGGGAACAGCTATGTTCTACAGCCTTCTTAAAAGAAAGACAAAAGGCACAAATACTGCACAATTCCCCTTATAGGAGGTACCTAGATAAGTCAGCAT